GTCTTGGTTCAAGGCTACGACCTTTGCATTCCTCCTTTTAGCCGATATGGATTAATTTAAAGTACCGAGTGTGCTGCATGTATTTAGGATCATTTTCTGACTCGTAGCGGTTTGTCTATTCAGCTTGTAAGCATGCGCTCTGAATCCCACTACAGTCGGGAGCAAGCAAAATGGCTCTTAACTCTGGCAGTTGGACTCCAAAAGTAATCGATCAACACTCAAAGTCCCTTTGGCTCACTTGCACACTATAAAAAAAATCTATTTTCTGCCAAATTTCTTCTTTTAAAAAATTTCAAATTTGACGAAATTCCTCTACTCAAATTTACTTGGACAAATCACACTGAACGGATACCTCAAACCATAAATGAATTCCGTGATTCCCTAATTAAACGAAATGAAATGTAATTGAAGTTTAGTTATAATTCTACCGAGACATCACTAGCACTGAAGAACTTACTTGAGATTGCACCTGTCACCGGTCTATGGTGGAGTACCTTACCGCCGTGACCAACTTGTCATCCACTTTCTCGCCGGAATCCTCCCGGGAGTGGAGTTGGTAAATGGCGTCAAGTACCCTAGCTGAAGATTCACCTTTCTCTGATTGCAGAAGAAGCTCGACCACCTTATTGGTAGCGATAGATTCGTCGCTTGACGAGACCGTCTGGTCAATATTCTGAGCCCGAAGTAGGCTGCCCAGGGGTGATATGGGTGTTGGCTGTTCCACTGTCCGAAGGGACGCCAAGCAATTCAAGTTGCGTTGGCTCCGATGACATCTTGACGATAGGTACCTGTCAAAAAGGCGCACTGAGGCGTATATGCCGGGGCTCCATTATATAGCAATGCTCTCTTTTTTATTACAATAAGATCTCTCAAGTGTGACGTCATGATACCGGTGTCAGGTGTCAATCTCAAGTAAGTCCGAGGTGCTATGTGATACGAGGTTGAACCGGGCTTGAGGTTGAACCATGACTGGTTTGCGAATCGCCTGATATTACAGTTTCTCTGTGAGGGCTAAAACCGCAGTAAGTCCTCCGTATCCTTCTGTCATTAACAGAGGACCAGCATCAAGAGTACCGATGGTGCGACAATGTGTACGGTAACCTTTTTAGTAGTAAAACTGTGAGAGTGGCGTTGTGTATCGAAAACACTTTCAGCGACATCTCAGTGCCTGACAATTGCTCCAAACCTGTGGCTTTGGTCAGCTATAACATTGGTTCAACCAACGAACAAGTGAGAGGTCAACAAACATTGTATTGCCTGTCTTAATTTGGTCGTGTTGGTCGAGCAAATCATCACCATGACAAGAATTTGTAAGAAATTCGAAATGGCCTTATGTAACGCATTCAAAGTAATTTAAAAGGAAAATTAAGTTTAGATTGTCGACAGAGACGAATATTTTTTGAACTCAGATCTCTTCTTGGCCAACAACCTTCCCCCCCCCCCAAATTTATCCTTCTCCGTCATAGGGAGTTGCAGTCTGCCGTGAGACACTAAGCTGATGTAGGGAAAGCGTCTTACCCGTACAAAAGCACAGTTTATGTTTTAAGGGGTAAACTTTTTCTTTCTTTTCTTTTCTTTGTCAGTGTTTAAGAAAAGAGCATCTAAAACTCACAACTCGACCCTAAAGCGTTCATACCTAGGGGGTAAATTATTGTACTAAGAAATTGCTATATATTTACAAATTCAAAAGTCCAAAAAAATGTGTCCTGAGTATCATTAAATTTCGAATATTTCTTAAATAATATTAAGTGGACCTTGATATATAAGTGACGTTTATTGGTCTCATTAACGCACCGTTATACAATGTCTATGAATAATTAAGATTTCATGTAGGTCAAATTATATGAACTTGATGGTGATGGTAATGTAGAAGTTAGTGATGTCGGTGTTGGTAGCTCATGTAACATTATATTATTCAATTTAATAATTATTAAAAGTAACCTAAGAAATCATTGTCTTGTGAAAAGAAATACTCTGGCTACATTTCTCATGATGTAATAACGTGCAACTTGAGTCGTCCAACCACCAAACGCACGAAACCTTACACAGAAAACTGCCAAATTATCCTTACAGCCCTCAAATTTATCATAACTTTGCACATAAGACTATAAACTTCTTTTTTTGTTTTTGCATCCAACACTGGCGTAAGTTGGGATCAAGGGACCTTCATTTGCGTTAATTTTAGGAACAGTTACAGTACATGGGAATTATTTACTGGTCAATGGAATTATGATGAATTTTTCATCTCTTCAAAAAGAGTTCACGTGTCTACAGAGGTCATCATAACAATGACTGACCAAAAATTCCATGTAGCATATATAACTTTTAATCAATTGAGCAAAAGAGCAAGAAAATGTGGCCAAATAATGACAATTTAACGTTTTGTAGCTAAATTTAGAATGCACTCACCTGAATCATTGTCGCTTCAGAATCTGTTTCAAACATTAAATTTGATAAATCATGTTTAATTAGTTCCGTGATTCCACTCGAAGAAAGGAACTGTTGGACGGATGGGGGCGCTGCATTTCACCTCATATCGGAGCTGGGTGTAGAGAAAGTAGCACCAACTGAGTGCTATTTGTCTATGTGCACTGACGCACAATTCACCGCTTTGGTTTCAAAAGCTGAGACCCTATCACAACTCAGGTCACAAATCTCTCTCTCCATGTTACGGGCCCCCAGCTTGACCAAGAGAGGGCGCAATTTTCCTGGCAACGGAGATTCCCTTGGTAGTAACTGCGCATCGCTGGTTTCACACAGATCTAGATCACGGTCAATGATCCCTCGTTGGTTTATAGACATCATAACTCGTCGAATGGTTACGTGAACAAGCGTAAGGATCACTGATCGCGATCTAGATACGTGTGAAACAAGCAGGCCCTACGAAACGCAAGTCGCATTGCTATAAACAACAACATGAACACTCCCGACCAACATGCATGGAACTTTTCAACCGACGAGGGGCACAATATAGTATAGGGGCACAATTTTCAAAATCAGTCTCTCCCAGCTTCTGCGTTTTTCCTTCCTCTTCGGAAAACCTTCAAAATCATTATAGGTATTATTTTCTGTTCTGAAGAGAATTTTTGATAGCAAAATAAAAACTTTAACAAGCACTAGGGCAAAAGAAATCAGAAGGGTTCCGTTCTGTGTGAGCTATTGTGCTATACTTTAGGGTAATAACCACCACTCTCGGTGGACGGCGTAAGTGGCGATATAAACCTAAACCAGTCCGAAGCTAGTCCATGATTCACCCTGCATTCAGCCCACATAGTACCCTGAAGCACATAACTATTTACTCGGACATGGTCGGTAAGGAACCCTGTTAATTTCTTTTGACCTCGTGCGCTCGGGGAGAAAGCAAAGACTGGTTTATTTTACTTAGTGCAGTGTCAAGTTCCCTTGGACCAGAAAGTAATGGCTTTAATGGTTTAAAGGGTTTTCCAAAGACGGCAGTGAAAAAGAGTGCCGAAGCTGAGGAAAAATGGTATTTGAATACACGTATGTGCCCCTGTACATTCTCAATAGGCTGCTCAAGCTTTTTACCTCCTCATGGCATTTATGAGCATGCGCACATGAATGGGAATTTATAAGCGAGCTGGGCTATCAGGAAACGGATGTCGTTAAAGATACCAGAGGTAAAGTATGGGGCGTCTTATCATGCCAAGGCAGCGCCAAATTTAAAAAAGTTATAAGTATTGGGCCATTGAAGTGTTCCAAAGTGCTTGTCTTTTTGTCACTTTATGAAGTTTTAGAAAACTGAGAAAGACCTCCCTTTCAGTTTCAAGTATGTGTCATAAAACTTGTGTGTTTTATAATCAACTGCAATGCAATGGCAGCCGACGTTAAGTGATGTGACTAATCTTTGTGAGCTCTGTTTTGCAAGAACCATACATCGTTTTCTTTCGATTCTTGTCTTTATGCACCAGGTGTTGAGCGTTCGGAAATGAGAATATTATTTTTAATTTTCAAAAACAGAGTCCCTAAGCTGCACAGATGTTTTGTTCCCCTTCTATGCATATGTCCTTGATCAAAAAAACTGATTGCCATAAAGGGTGCATTTTAAATCAACGTAAGTTATTACAACACAACGCCGCGGCGGTACCGTTCAAGGTCAGCCTTGTCTGTGTACGTTGGGGAAAACCTCTATGCGCCGCTATTGTGTACCCAGAATTCTTTGCATTGACATGTTGCCATTCCAGTTAAAAAAGTAAACTTCGAAGTTGTCTTCACTTCAGTGTCGAAGCCGAAGCGGCTGGACCACCAGCCAGAACCTCGACTGTTACCTCTCAGAGAGGTATGTGGTCAAGGTTGTTCTCTAAGTACTCTTAAAATGGAACTCAAAGGAAAATACATTGATTTGTCCATTGACTTACGGATGGATGGAGCACAATCGACGAATGTCCCGATTTTCTTTTGACAAAACGTCCCGGTTAGTTTGCTTCTTTTCAAGCGTCCCAGTTTTGCTTTCAAGATCTTCAGCGTGCTGCATTCTGCCACTGTTTATGACTGTGAAAAAACCGTAATAACACTAAACATTTTTGGAATCCGGGTTGAACATACCTAACTAGATGGATAATACAATCAACGATGTTAGGACTTTGGCACTTTTACTCCTCTTTCAAATCAGTTGATATATTCTTTCATTGAGCTAAAAACAAACTTAAGCGGCCTTCGAAGTTACAACTTTTCCAACTACCTTCAATTTTTACGTATCTTGTTAGCCTTTAGTTGCCCCTTGGTTGCACTTTTGTCCAATTTCACAATCAGTACAAAGCTGAAAATGTAAGTCCTAACGTAATGGCCTTTCATTTTTATGCGCACGTAATTAATAAACTTATTGGGAAGAGATCCAAGTTAGCTTTTATGCTTGAATATGATCTGCAAAATCTGGATTCTATTCCCCACTGGTTACCATACACGAGGCTATATCAGCAGAACGTCGTGCTATGGTCTGACACACTGACGCCTTATCCAGCCTCGAACGTAACTGACAGTGATCGGACCCGATCAGATCACCTTTTCATAGCCTGACTGAGAACGTGTTGTTCTTCGTGTACGGCTCGACCCATATAGCCATGGCTGCAACAGTGCTCAAGACTCTCTTTTTGTTTTTGATGCTTCTCTCCACTGTCAAGAGTAACTGGGATGGTGATAACAGTGACCCAACACTGGCAAATTTGGTAAATATCCTCATGCTTTGATTATGTCCCTGTTTTAAAACCCTTTTTAAGAACGCTTAAAAATGTGAGCTACACTGTGCACGCCTTTTTAAAAATGAATGCCTTTATTGCTATCAGCTCCGAGCAGGAACAAAAGAGAGCGCGTTTTGAAATGACATTGGCAGTCCTTTGGTACTAACGTACTGCATAGGTGCGCAAGTTAATGCACATTTGACGCGGAGCACGCTGAGTACGCGCAACGATTTAGAGCTAGGTTTACACTATGTTCCCAGCAGGGAACGCTTTGTCTCTCCGGTAAAATGTGTGAGCTATGCTGTGCGCACCAGTAGAGAGTTTACATGCATTCAAAATATCTTAATTGCTATTTGGCAATCTCATAAGTCATCAGTTGACTCAGTCCGACAACTTAGACCAGATCTAGTCATCTAACTTAAGATTCACTTCTCAAAATGCTGCTTCCATTCTTTTTTAATCAATACCCTTTGGAAAGAGACGACTTGATTTCTCTGTTCGAAATTTATTTGCCCGTACATACAAGCACAATGCACATAATGTGAATTTTCAGCCAAATGAAATTTAACACACTGAGAATCACGAGGAATCAGTCAAGTTATAATTGATAAACTGTATCTTTTCCCTCAGAAGTCTCAGTTTTCGCTGAAAATAATGTGGTGGCAGATCTCAAAGTGGGTCTGTTTAAGTAGATAGTCTGTTAATGAATGCAGTGCACCACTATACCTTCGGCAGGTTGGGAAGTAGTGCTGGGTACATTAGAAAGGCGGGGTAGCAAACGAGGGAACAAGCCAGATAATCCTGCCTCCACCCGTGGGGCTGTACAGTGGAAAGTGATCTTCGGGTTAACCCTCAAAAGCTGGGTTATTTCGGACCATCTCACAGCCGGGAGGGGGAGGAGTGTCCCCAAATATTTTCTATAATACTGTCACAGTACATTTTTTTCAGGCACCGAGACCTAACGGGTTGTTTAGTAGAATCTTGTGGTCATTTGGACACCAATGTTTGGGAGAGTGGGATATTTTGTTCGGGCACAGCGCTTGTTTTCCAAGAGATATCAGCAAAAAGTCCACACTTTTTCCGTTTGTCTGCTCGATGCACGTGTTATCGTATCCCTACGTTGTATTGAATTGAAAATTTACATTTGTACTAACTGTGTCTTTACATCTGAGTGTTCAGTTTCAAAGCGATTGGGCATGTGACATTTTAGCTCAGGGGGATCGCCTCTGGCTTTTTCGGGGTTAAAGTAGATAATAATACCAAAGAGCTGTATATGGAATAAACAATATTCATAATTCCCGCAGAGAATTCCCCTGTTGGACAACGTGCCACTTGCCCTTTATAATGCCCAAATCGCGCTGGCACCTGTGTTTTAGACAGTTTAATCCATTCCTATTGGTCAAGAAGTCTGTATGCGCTGCGGTACGCAGAGCTCGCCACGCGCCAAGTCGATATAAGGAGATACTTCTGGACTACTTGCACAAGGAATATACCATCAAATGGACAGGGGTGTTAGGGAAAATGAAAGTAAAATTCTTTTGAATCTCTGACTAAAACGTATGGGAATAAATATGTGCTTGTTCAGATCGGCTCAGGAGAACGAATGCTGATAAAACCCTCGCTTGTGGTTCAGGTATTAGTTGCGCGTGTTCTCCTGAGCCTGAAGATCGCCAAACACAAATTCGTTTCCTAGTTAGTAAACCATTTTGGGGAGTTACTGGAAACCGTAGATCTTGGGCATTGAAAAAACTGGGAACCCATATGAGAACTGACTAGGCATATACAGGATGAAAAGGCTGAAAGACCTCATTTTGTCTAGGTCACTGCGGTACCTTTTGCCTACTGCATGTTAACTACAGCTGGCCATCATTACAAAGGACAACAGGAGTTGAAATATTAACAATCTCAAACATGCAGTTATCAAGGCACAAAAAAAAGTACATATTAAACAAGGGTAAAATGTTGTGTTCATGTTATACCACGTAACTTTGTAATTCCATTTTATCAGGGATTTTATGTCCACAACATGACCTGCAAGGACGATACGACTATTTGTCAGCACTGCGCCCATCTTGACCTTGTCGGAAGACCATTTATTCGTACGTATTTTCTCTTAAAAATGCTGTCCTTGTTGTGGTCATCATAATTTATAATAGAGCCTGAAAGTTGACCCCTGATGGCGCGCTTCTGCAACCCTTGAAGGGAAAAAACAATATTTTTTCCCGTTCAGTTACTTCTGATAAACTCTAATCGTAAAAAGGCCTTTTGTAAAATATTTACTAACGTCTCAATTTATACAAACTGAAAAACTACCTGACTTAAAAGAGGAATATCCTGCCAAAAATGACCTATCACCTCCGAAAATTTAAAATACATGAGGAACAGTGCAATTCGGTGGTCTTGTACGCAAATGGAGAGATATGGAATAATAATTCATGGTGGTCTTTCGGTAAAAGCCAAGAAGAAACAGACCAAAATATATGAAGTATTTTGTAATTTATAACGAAATAAACTGAAGCAATAACCTGCTTGAGCGAAAGATTCTAATATATAATCTAACCTTGTTGACAAGAACGTCGTCAGGTCAACTTGACTGAATCAAGACTAGAGTCCATCGACTACAGGTAGGTAAATCTCTACAACGTTGTACAATCTCGTTTCCAGCACCGGGAATAAAAACAAATGTACATTAACAAGGAGACCTAGGAACGATACTGCCGGAACTGGAAGGTCTTTAATGTAATTCGTTTTTAATCTATCTCCAGGTGACTTTTCCTATTATTTGACGAGGACAAAGAGAGAATTCCGACATGAGTGTTTCTTGGGGTTGTTTCAGTTAGGAATCATTCTTCCAAAAATTATCGAATGTGATAGGACGGCCCCATGTAAAATCCACATATAGGCGGACCGTGCGAGGGTTCCGGAAGCTTTCTGAGTGACCTTTGACTTTCAGGCTCTTTTCAACGTGTTCTGTCCACGTCATCATTCAATTAGAAAGGGGGCTCCTTTGCAAAACTGGGCTTTATTTTGTACACAAATTTCACAACGTCTCACAAAAAAATGTGTGAATTATATTCGACAGTCACGACTGAATACACGTCTGGTCCTTACAAGTTCAAGTATTACTTTGAAGACGGAATGCAAGATTGGAACATTTATTTCGCCCAAGGTAAGTTGGTTCATGCTCCATATTCCTTTTACTTGTGAGACCTCTGTTTTTCTGTATTCTGCGCTCAATTGTGTGGCACTACAACCTCATTTGTATCCGTGTGGAATACCTACTTTGGTCTCACGTGGTGGGAAAAAGTGAGTTAAGTGCCGTTCCTCCTTTTGGAGTAAATTTCAAATATCTATTTAGAAAATGTTAGTGGGGACTATACCCCACAAGGTCTATGTGGGGTACCTTTTCTTGTTCTGCCCCGGCACCCCACAAGGCACTATAATCCAACGCACGGGAACGCCACCATCGCCAGCCTTTGTAGATTTTTATACTCAGAGCGTACCTCCAGCAACGTAGTCTTGTTTCCAAGACCTTTGCATTCCTCCTTTTAGCCGTTATGAATTAATTAAAGTACAGCGTGTGCTCTACGTATTTAGGATCGTGACACTGTCACGTGAGAAAACGCTGGAAAACTTTCTACAATGGATAAACACACTCTCTAGGGAGTGATTTCCGCACGCAACACACTTTCAGACAAATTGACCTGCCCTTTATGGACGACTGCTTCCATAATTACACGGGAGAAAACTCTTCTGAAATTTTACCAAGAAGCATGTATTTGGCTGTATGTAAAACATCACCTTTATAAATAGAAAAAAACCATTTTACACGTATAAAGAACTGAACCAACCACAGACCCACAAGCCAGCTAGCTCCTGGTTCCTATATAATAGGAAGGGGGACCAGTCCAGGCGCAGTGGGAACAAGTATAGTACTCCAAGGCCATACAAACGATAAGCAACATTAAGCTAATGGTAAGCTAAACGTATTCTTCTGAGATCTTCAGGTGTGATAGCACAAGAGCACATCGTAAATTCGAATCAAGGTTGGAAGGATTTATTCTAAAACAAAACGTCTAAACTGATACCTTTGCTTCTCTCTTATCCCAAGCACTGCACTCCTAGCTTAAATTTCCAAAAAGGTTGAATGCAGAAATTTAAGATAACAAGCGCCACAAGATTGGGAACGAGGCTGAATAATGACTCACGTTTTCGCATAACGTTTGATATCTATATGGATTTAAACGACGTGGGTCTTCCCTTTTCCTATCTCATTCGAAGAGGACCAAAGTCAAGAGTACCGATGGTGTGAAGATATATACGACATCCTGGACATCAGTACAACTGTGAGAGTGGCTTTGTGTGTCGAGAACACCTTTAGTGACATCTCAGTGCCTGACAATTGCCCCAAACCTGTGGCTTTGGTCAGCTATGACTATCATCCATCAGACGGACAAGTGAGAGGTCAGCAAATGCTGTATTGCCTGTCCTAGATTGGTGGTGTTGGCCGAGCGACTCATTGCCACGATGTGGATTCGTAAGGAATTTGTAATAAGCCTCGTGTAACGCTTTCAAAATGATTGAAAAGGAAAAATAGTTTCATAGTTTGGTTAGTTTGGTTTTCTTTACTCCAATTTCTTCTTGGCTAACAACCATTTTTCATATCAAATTGACCCTTTCCCATTCCTCAGCATTGAAGAGTTGCAATCAGACATGGGTCACTTATATGATATAGGGAAATTGTGTCACCCGTGGAAGTACAGTTTACTGCTGTTAAAGGAGTACAAGAAAAAAAGAAACGCACAACTCGACACTAGATCATTCATGCCTACATGGTGAATTATTGCACGAACAAATTATTTTTATTTAAAATAAATGGACTACCTCTTTTGTAAAATCATTCAATCTGTAATGAGTATTATCGCTTAAAACATTTTTGGCAGTCTAACAACATGTAGTGAACCTTGCTATATATTTTTAAATGTTCATCGGTCTCATAAAGCAATATCTATGAATGATGAGGATTGCAAGCATGTCAAACATAATTAGATGCAGTTAGTGGCGATGATGGTGGCTTGTAGGAGTTGGTGATTTGGTGTTGGTGGGCTCACTTTAATGATAAAAACTATTTAGACCAGAAAGTAATAGTTGATGAATTTTAAAGGCTTTCCAGAGACGAAGTGAAAAAAAAGTGCAGAAGGTGAGAGAAACTGAAATTACTTGCCATGTACATTTTCAATAGGCCGCTCAAATTTGTGCCATTTATGCGCACGCGCACATAAATGAGAATTTTTGACTGCCTTGTGAACTGGCCTCAGCTATACAACATGTGCACTCATGTGCAGGTTGTGTTGAAAAATGAATTGGTATCTTGGGAATCTAGCAGGTACTGAAACGGACTGTAATAATAACATTTTGTCACCACTTAATTAGCTACATACAACAGTTGGCGGAGGCCCGCCGGAGGAGGGCCTCCAGTGCAGCGTCCTGACATTCTTGTAATTGTGTTATATTTTGGGCACACAGCGGTAAAGAGGTTTTTGTGAGTTACATTTGACCAAATTCTGGTAAACTGAGTTGTTTAAAACCACGTAAACATAACAATTTGAATTCTTAAGACAAAGTTGCCGTGTCTTGTCATTTGGGACAAGCCTTCGCTTAGTTACACGAGACACGCCTTTGCTCCAATACATAGTTCTCATAATAAGATATATAAAAGTACAAAACAACAGTCCATTCGAGAGATGGTGCAAAAGCTTGCCCTGATTCACGAGGTACTACAACAGTGTCTTTAGTTTTGGAAATCTCAATTGTTATTTTTATGTGCAATCAGATAAATCAGTCTACCAGATTTATTCAAAGTTAGAACACTTACTATGGCTTCCATTTTGGGAGTCTTTCCTTTTTTTAGGTCATGCACAGGAAGGGCTTGGCTAGTTTCCGGGGAGAGATTGTCCAACATTATTCTCTTTGGGTGTACGTGAGTTTGTTTCTGGGACCCTGAACAATAGAGGACAACAAGGTCCCCGATTGAGAGAGGGTCCTTCACTGACAACTGTGTACAAAACATATGGGTGGTCAAACAAAAGAGGAACAATAGGGGGTCCCCAGTTGCAGGCAAATACACACTCGCGTGTGTGCGTATTTGTTGGAGGAATTGTAGCTGTTGTAGATAACAGCACAAAGAGTTGCCTGCTAGTTTTCTTGAAATAAAGAACAAGTTTAGCCGTCACAAGTCGTGTGAATTGTGTCTTTGTTTTTTGTCTCACCATGCTGGAGGATAAGAACTCATTAGTCCGCGCTACATCGCTTTTCGTGATAAGACTAGATTTTAACTGGGCATTTTGCTTGTACGTCTTGATGTAAAGTTGCATAACCTGTGCTGGAAATGTGTCTGTGTAGAGGGACGACTAAGAATCGAGCCTGGATTCAAGACTAAACTTAGAGTACAAGTTTTTGCGTCCAACACATTCTGTTCAAATTCTCACATCAGCATTCATGGTCATAATCACAAGTTACCTACAGACTAATTCGAGGTGGGCGGTAACTGTGGGAGGAGCATGACAAGTAAAGCTTCTCATTGGCTGGGACGTAAATTACCCTCGTGTACTCCAACTCGCTGGAATTTCAAGCGGTAGAATAGGGAACAATAAAGTAGAGTCGTATCCTAAACTTCCACCCAAATACCTTTTTACTAATAAATTCATAATTATGCACGCATGTGCACACGTACCTTGGCGGCAAGAAGTGTGAGCGGGGCCATTGAAATGTACGACTTCGATGATCATTTTCTCTCAGGTTTCCTGACTTTGTTTAGATTTTTCTTCAGAAAATCCCCTTAAATCGTTTTTGCTATTAGTCTCTAACTGAAATGGAATTTCCAGTGTTTGGTTAAAACATGTTAATTAAAATCGTAATTTTCCTGTGTACACGAGATCGTCGTTTCTTAGTGTGGCCTCTTTCCATCCATCATAGGTAGTATAAACTACATCGTTAGTGTTCCTAAAGCACAGTAACCTGCAAACAATTTCAAGTTGAAGATAATCATACGTTGGAGGAAACTGTTTGAGATATGATTGCACTTACTTGGAATAAACGCTTCTCTCATGGCTGTTCAAAGCAGAGAATAACCTAACTTCAGAAGAACATATGGTTCCTCTAAAACTGAATTAATGCCATTGCACTGTGCTAATAATTATATGTTAATTTAACACTAGAATATTCATATAGCATAATTGCCTTTTTATTACATTGTCCACCACTAAACCTTTGGTGAGGGCATACCAAAGTTAACCTTTGTCGGATCTCGGGACTAATGACCATTTTGCGCGTTTAGTAGCGTCTTGCACAGTGAAACAGAGTATTATGGACAAAAAGTGTTATTCGTCATAAAATGTGTGTGCATTTTGTCTATCAATGTACATAAACTGTAACTGTAGTAAACTGTAAACGAGTATGCGCCAGGCACTGAACTCGCCGAAACTTCAGTATCACTCTTTATTCTCAAGGACAGATTGCTTAACTGCGCAGGTGCAGATGTTCAGTGCGATTTCTACGCAGTTATGCATGCAAAAAAGCTGATGGCCCCAAAGGGTGCATTTTAAATCAACATAAATTATTGTTACGCACACGCCAGAGCGGCACGTTCAAGGTCGGCCATGTTTGAGTACGTTTTGGACAACCTCATTGCAACGTTAGACTGCAGCGCTGAATGTTAACGCTGATAAGAACGAACATTACTTAGCTCATGGGCCGATTCCCACTGGTGTCTAGCCTCGTACATGTACTTTTCATGTTTTAGCTTTTCTTTTATCCAATCTCTACACATGCACAATTTCATCGATATAGCTTAAGTTTTGCTTACATAATAATCTTGATCTTTATTTCTTAAAAATTATCTATAATATCTGTAATGTTTTATCACCATGACCTGCGTTTCGCTTGCCCGTTTCATCTTTATGTCTATAATGTTAAAGGGTATAGCAGTGATGAAGTTTTATGACACTTTTTCGCAATATAAACTAATCTTCATTGTTTACAAACTATTTTGCATCCCTTTTAGGTAACACGTATTGAAAACATCACGCAAGCACAGTCAAAGTGGAAAAAACCGTCGGCTAGGACCGCATCACTTTTGATATATTAAGCTATTTCGTTCTTTCAAATTAGTTGTATTATTTTATTAGAGCCGTAAACGAACTTAAGCGGCCTTCCAATTTGCAATGTCCCCACTGTCTTAAATGTGAGTACATCTTGTTTCCCTTTTGGGTTGTCCCTTGGGTTAATTTGACTACATATTTTTCCAATTTTACACTCAACTGAAGTCCCAGCGCAGTGGCCATTTATGCGCATGTGTGCATAATTATGAATTTATAAGGCAAGGTCAGTTCTATATGCATGCATTTGGCATCCATAATTTGGATTCTATTTCCACCGGTTACAGATGGATCACAGACGAACAAGAGGCTCTTACTAGCTGCGGTCTAAGACACCAACTAATATCTAGCAGCCGACAGTGATGTGCCGTCATTAAGCCCGATCAGATGATCTTTACAAAGCCTGACTGACATCTGTTGTTGAAATAGATTTGGTCCCATATAGCCATGGCTGCAACAATGCTCAAGACCCTCTTTCTGTTTTTGATGCTTCTCTCCACTGTCAAGAGTAACTGGGATGGTGATAACAGTGACCCAACACTGGCAAATTTGGTAAATATCCTCATGCTTTGATTATGTGACTGTTTTAGAACCCTTTTTAAGAACGCGTAAAAATGTGAGCTACATTGTGCACGCCTTTTTAAAAACGAATGCCTTTATTGCTATCAGCTCCGAGCAGGAACAAAAGAGAGCGCGTTTTGAAATGACATTGGCAGTCCTTTGGTACCCACGCACTGCATAGGCGCGCAAGTTAATGCGCATTTGACGCGGAGCACGCTGAGTACACGCAACGATTTAGAACTAGGTTTACACGATGTTCCCAGCGGCCACGGCAATCACATTTTGCCCACCGTGGACCGTACGGTATGGACGTGAGACAACGGGGGGGGGGGGATTGGAAACGTGACAGTTCGTGATGGGCCGTAACAAAACTTGGAGACAGTCCGCAGTGGGACAGGAAGCATGTGCATTCCCCGGCATCTCACAGTCCTTTCAAGTTTTCAAGTCTCGATTTCCGTTGGGAAAAGCATCCCCATCGCAGAAACTTTCCAACGGAACTAGGGAATTTGAAACATCAACATTATGAGCATAGGGAAAGGAGAAATTTCGGGGGGAAAAGTCTGGTAGCCAACAGAGGCAAGTTTACAGGTGTGGGTAGGATATAATAGTCTGCTGGATTATACCTTCAACTTCTTGTGGACGATGGTATGGCCATTTTAGTCAGTGTGATGATTACCTCGAGTGTGACTATAGGTAAAGTTCTATCGCCCAAACTGCGCAATCGCGCACACATTAACAGTAACTCGACTTCTTTTAAATTCCTGACCCTGACAACACACTACAGACTATTCCTCGATTACGGCAGGCAGCTTTAATTTATAAATTGCAATTACACCTCCTGTTTCGCTTGATTTTAATACAATGTTAAGGTATTGTGACATCTCGTAACATTGTAATTTCATTCTTAACAGGGATTTTATGTCTATAACATGACATGCAACGACGATGCAACTTTTTGTGAGCACTGTGCGCATCTTCGCGTTTTTGGGAGACCATATATACGTATGTATTTTCGCTTCAAAAGTTTTTGCAAAATTGTATAAAATCCTCTCTGCCTTGTGATCATGTGCACTCGCCGTGTAATAATCTATTGCCCATGCCTTTTTCATGACCGACCGATCGAACCACTTCTAAGACCAACAAGGCACGAGAACCATGATTTATTTTAAAAGGGATCTCTCCTGCAAAATTGGACATTATTTTGCATTAAGCCAAAAGGTTCGTGAAATACAAATGTTGTGTCAATTATCTTCGACAGTCACGATCGAATACACGACGGATCCCTACAAGCTCAAATATTACTTTGAAGACGGAAAGCGAGACTGGAACTACTATATCGCTCAAGGTAAGATGGTTCATGCTGCAGTTTCATTGGACTTGTGTGTCCTCGGTGTTTATGCATCTGCATTTAGTTGCGTGTCATCACACCAACATTTATATTTTTTGGAGATATTATTCTTGTTCCCGAGTACTGAAACTTTGTTTGTGAAGTACACTTTCTCCTCTCTGAGTAAATTGAAATATCAATTGAAGTGAAACATCTGTACGGATGCCGCCTAACTATACCCTACAAGGTCTCTGTACCTTTTCTTGTTTCTGGCACTCCACAAGGGTACAACCACGGTAACACCACCTTTGTAGATCGTTATACCACAGGTGTACTTCCTGCAAACTAATCTTGGTTCCAAGACCCTTGCATTCCTGCTACCCAATATAAGTTAATTCAAGCTACTGAGGGCGCTAAATTTATTCAGGGTCCTTTTCTGACTTAAAAGCGGTTTGTCTGGAGATAGCGCCCTCTAACAGTGATGGTTTGTAATTGCGAAATAAACTACGGGATCCAAGACTACCCGGAAATGACGAGGCATGTCATCTTTGCGGCGTTGAGGCAGCTTTTGCCATTAGGAAGTCACTCATGGTAGTAGCCATGGTCAAGGCGTTCGTCGTTGGCCGCAATGCACTAGCTGGCTATCGGTTTCCAACTTTTTGTTGGTTTGTGCAATGGAGAAATCGAGGCGTCTCAGCTAATAACTCTGCGTTGCGCTTAAACCATTTCATTGCACTCCTTAGACCAAATCTCAAAAAGTTGGACACAGAAATTGCAGATTACCTGGGCTTCACAAAATCTGGTAGAACTGATATGGAGCCGCCAGATCGGGAACGAGGTTGAAGAAAGACTAGTTTACGTATTGCCTAGCACTAAATTCGGTATTTGTGTGGCCTAAAAACGCAGTAAGTCTTGTTTGCCACTTCACAGAGGACCCGCATCAAGTGTACCGATGGTGCCAGTGTGCAGACGGCAAGCACGACCCCGATCCGATTAGGAGAGTGGTTTTGTGTGTCGAGAACACCTTCAGTGACATCTCACTGCCTGGCAATTGCCCCAAACCTGTGGCTTTGGTCAGCTATGACTATCATCCACTCGACGAACAAGTGACAGGTCAGCAAGCACTGTATTGCCTGCCTTAGTTTGGTCGTATTGGTCAAACAAATTACCGCTTTTACGTGGCTTCGTAAGGAGTTTTTAATGGCAGCATGTAACGTATTCAAAGTGCTTAAGAAGGGGAAAATAAGTCCAGATTATTGACTGAAACAACTTCAGTTGAGTCTTCTCAACTCCAATTTCGTCATGGCGAACCACCATTTTCATTTCAAATTAAATCTTTCCCATTTATCAGCAATAAAGATTTATGGTCTCTGCATGTGAGACACTTATCCAAACACTGAAATAAAGCAAATTTTCATCTGCCACGTATGCGTACATCTTTGGCTAAAAACAATCAGATCAATCAGGGGCTAAGAATATGGAACTCTGTGAATGAGAATCTGAAAGCCTCGAAAATTTGTGAATCTTAAAATGAAATTTTAAAAAGATCATATTGAATGATTACTGTTAATAATTACTGACTGTGGAATTGATTATCTTTGTCTATAATCTTCCTTGGTTCTTATTCTCTTTCATTTTTCCTGTCCTAATTTTTTATGTAAAACTTAGGTCATTAACTGACATACAGAGCAAGTGTCATGTCTGTCTAGTGTTTGTCCTTTGTGTGCTGTCATTAATCAATAGTAACTATAAATTGCTTCGAGGGCCCACAATCATGAGTTTTGCTTTTTAGTGGGTACCTCCACGCCTTTGTGCCGTATTTATATAGTGTTTGAAAAGTTAAATTGTAAGTATGCAAAGCTGTGGAAATAAATGATCAATGAGCAATAAAACCAGTCTTGTGGCAAGACTAGCCTTAAACGCGGGTTTAAGACCGGTCAAGCACATAATTTATTTATTTCCTTATTAAAGCAAGGAATTATTTGCACACTTAATTCAAGTACCGTTATGTGCTGAGGAACACACAACTCGGCTCTAAATCATTCATGCCTTATATGGTAAACTACTGCACGAACAAATTGCTTCTGATTTCATAATGAAATAACTTCTACTTTCTTAAAATATGTAAAGGCATTTTTTTAGATTTCAATATTCAAATATGGCTTAAACAATATTTAGTGAACCCTGCTACATTAAAGTGACGTGTATTGATCTCGTTAACGCACTATTATATAGTGTCCATTGATAATGAAGATTACACGCAGTGTCACAGACATGAAGTTGATGGCGGTCGTGGTAAGGGTGTAAGAAGTTGTAAAGCCGGTATTTGGGGTTCAATTAAAAGTCAGCCAATAAAATTACATCACCTATAAAAAAAGAAAAATTCACTCTGAATACGTTTCTCCTGATGTCATAACGTGCAAATTGAGTTGTCCAACCACCAAACGCACGAAACCTTACACAGAAAAAATGCCAAATTATCTACAAAAGGCCTAAAATTTATCAAGTTTTCTCATAAATCCGTACCTTTTGTGTTTGCGTCCTCCAACGCCGCTGTGGTTGGGATCTAATTTTGCATTAATTTGGGGAACAACTACTGTGAATGTAATTGGAAATTATCCACTGATATTGTCCATGTGCACTGACACATAATCCGCCATTTTGATTCCACCAATTGAGACCCTGGTATCTCAGCTCTCTCTGCATCATCTCTGCTCACACCATGGGTGTTTTTATTACATCGGCGGCGCTCTTAATGGTAGAAGGGTATATGAACTGCAAGTCGTCCTCAATTCATTGTCGGAGCCGAAGCGGCTGGCACACGGACCAGTCTCAACTACGAATGTTAACCTGATAGCCAAGTAGATCTGATCAAAGTTGTTCGCCAAATACTCTTAAAATGGAACTCAAAGGAAAATACATTGGTTTCTCCATTGACTTAGTGATGGATGGAGCGCAAACGAATAATGTCCGAATTTTCTTTGGGCAGATTACCTTTTCATGCGCCCCGTTTTCGCTACTCTTCAGCGTGTTGCATTCTGCCACTCTTTCCAACTGTGCAACACCGTTACATACACCATCGAAAACCGTAAAAACGCTTTCCATTTGGTAATCTGGCTCCAACATGTATAACTAAATGGTCAAAAGCTATAGTCAAGGATGAAAATGTAATTGTAAGCATTACAGCACTTTTACTTGTCATAATTCATATTTTGCTATTAGTGTCATTCTTTCAAATTCGTTGATAAATCATTCATTGAGCTAAAAATAAACTTAAGTGGACTTCCCCCTTGCCATAAAAATTTGTGTATCTTGTTACCCTATTGGTTGCCTCTTGGTTTGCATTTTTGTCCAATTTTATAATCAGTTACGAACATAAGGTTCTTACTGGCACCAACACACACTGCAAATTGCAGTGATATGCTGTCATCGGACAAGATCAGATCACCTTGAGAAAGCCTGACCGATACCTGTTTTTGGAATCTTGCGAGACTGGACCCACATAGCCACAGTCGCAACAATGCTCAAGAACCTCTTTCTGATTTCGATGCTTCTCTGCACTGTGGAGAGTAATTGGGACGGTGATAACAGTGACCCATCAGCGACATATTTGGTAAGTATTCTCCAGCTTTTGCTTTCCCGACACAGGTCAGCCCAAAATCATACTTTTTCTGTTGCCTGCGCGTAATGCGCTCGGGACCACACAGTTATGAGGTAGAATCAGGCAAAAGTTCAAGACGACCTGGCACGTGACAGTTGAGGGGCGGGGGGGCGGCCCATGTGCCTACTGCTGGTATTGGTGAACTGCGGCTGGCTACCATTACAAGGGGAAAAAGTAGTTTTTATATTGAAATATCTCAGAAAGCATATATATGTATGTATGTTTGTATGTATGTATGTATGTATTGTGGCGGGACAACTGACAACTCTCTCTCTCTCTCTCTCTCTCTCTCTCT